ACTGGAACTCGCTACAGCTTTGAATGCGATGCCCATTGTGGTAAAAGATACAATTAACTCCTTTTTGGTCAGGTTCGAGTTTGTCGAATTTGTTTCAAGCTTCATAACAGTCACACCTTAAAAAGTAACAATGTCAAAGTTGTACCTTGTAAGTATAAATGAGAAATTAAGAAAAAGAATTGGAGTCTCGGGACAAAGTTTTAAATAATTTCATTGTAACCTTGAAATTGATGGGCATTGGACTCGTCAAAGTCTATAACATCTCCATTGACTAAAACGTCTACAATTCTAATCGAGTTGAGGCGGACTTCTACGACGGCAGAATTATTCGAATCTTGTGAAACAAAGGAAGTGCATATGCTTGCATCAACCAAATCTCCTGTGTGAACAAAGAGTATTAAAGAAAATATAGTCCAATATGTAGATGACCAGCATAGACGTACTGAATATTTTTCTGCTTGGTTCCATATATTCATAACTTACCGTTTTCTTTTCTAAATTGCTCAAATCTTATCTGGCTTTGAAATCTTTCGTCTACGGTTTTCATAAAGACATAAATTCTCCCACACCATTAAATGTATATTGAAAGCCATCCAGAGTAGTAATATGAGGATCTCCATTGGTCCGAGCTGCAAATATTTATACGAAACATTAATGTATGATTAGAGAAGATTGATTGATTGTAGATTGTTTAACGTCCCTCTCCAGATATTTTTCACTCATATGGAAACGCCACCACTTGCCGGTGGAAAGCTGCAAATTTTGTCTTATACTCGTCACTCAGGCCCATTGAGCTGGGAGGGATCTTTTTTGTCCCAGCACCTACTGTGACACGGGACCTCGGTTTATACGGTTTCATTCGGGCTCCACGTCCCACAATAGGATTGGAACCCGCGACGTGAGGATCAACTTCTTACTTCGCGACTCTAGAGCAGGCGCTTTAACCACTGTGCCACGTAGCCGACAGGATTAGAGAAGAGAAACATGGAACATTTATCTACAGCTCAACTTAGTTGGTTTATGCATGGGTAACTGGAATTCATGCAGTGAGGAATATTTATCTTTATAGACATTTCTATTTAAATGATGAGTTACCTGGTCTCGGTGGGATATAGTTCTTGCACGAACTGAACTTTCTGTGTTTGAAGTAACTAGGACATAAATTTGAAACACCTGAGGATCCAATCCCTATAACATTTAGAGAATATCGGCAACAGTGAAGGAATGGTAGAACGTCAAAATAAAAGTTTGTGATGTATGGTTGCACTCTATGTCCACCAAGATAATGATATCTCTGAATGCTCCCTCCTTCCTTTACTCTTGAGTCGATTAGGTTATTTGCAATGTCGTAGCAGCACAAATTGTCGACTCCGTGTTGCCTATTTTGATGAAAAATACAATTTTAAAAACGAAGCAATTCAAATGTGTACTTTTTAGCTCACCTGAGCCAAAGGCTCAAGTGAGCTTTTCTGATCAAAATTTGTCCGTTGTCTGTCGTCGTTGTTGTCGTCGTTGTCGTTGTCAACTTTTCACATTTTCATCTTCTTCTCAAGAACCACTGGGCCAATTTCAACCAAACTTGCTACAAAGTATCCTGGGGTGAAGGGGATTCATGTTTGTTCAAATGAAGGGCCACGCCCTTTTCCAAGGGGAGATAATTATGAATTAGAGAAAAATAAGTGGCTTTTTTAAAAAATCTTCTTCTCAAGAACCACTGGGCCAGGAAAGATGAAACTCATGTGGAATCATTCTCAGGTAGTGTAGATTCAAGTTTGTTCAAATCATGACCCCCGGGGCTAGGGTGGGGCCAAAATGGCCGATCAAAGTTTTACATAGGAATATATAGGAAAAATCTTTAAAAATCTTCTCAAGAACCACTGGGCCAGGAAAGATGAAACTCATGTGGATTCATCCTCAGGTAGTGTAGATTCAAGTTTGTTCAAATCATGACCTCCGGGGGTAGGGTGGGGCCAAAATACCCGATCAAAGTTTAACATAGGTATATATAGCGAAAACTTTTAAAATCCTCTTTTCAAGTACTTCAAATCCATGCTTAGTGATATTTATATGGAATCATTCTCAAGTAGTGTAGATTCTAATTTGACCCCATTGGAGGTTAAAATTCAAGCCCCCCCCCCAACTCAGTAAACTTTCAGTTCTGATCTGATATGTGCTTTTTCCTAGCAAATTGCTCAGGTGAGCGATGTGGCCCCTGGGCCTCTTGTTAAAATTGTTTTGTTTAGCTGGAAAATATGAAACATTTGTTTAGTCAAATTTTTTAACTTCTCTTACCCTAAATTAACTAAACGAATACAATGGGTGGCGTCTCTTCTATGCAGACAATTACCAGTACGGGAATACGGCGAAGTACGACTAAACATGCTGCAATCTGGATCGGGTTGAAATCTGACTATGTCCAGTAGAGCTTGGTCTAAAGTACATGGACATGGCTGCTCATCATTAGTCGACAATTTGGGTAGTTGCGTTTCATTTTTTAGCCAATCATGACAGAAGATGTACGCTTGATCTGGTGGTAGGGCCACGGGAAATATGTCAGACCAAATTCCTCTATCGGCCCTATAGATACAAAAAAATGTAATCACTGGCAGTTGTTCTTTCAACTCTTATAATTCATTTTTTATTTCTTTAATAATTTTTTTTCTATTTATAAAATTAATAATTATTAATGTATTCTAAGACAGAATTAATAAGTAATCTTTTAGGCCCCTAATTAAATTTTACTTACATTGAATAGAAAAACATTTTAACATCCTCAGACTCAATTATTTTTATCCATCTTCATAAATTTATACCTATATATTCTTTTATTGTGTGTGTGGAGGACCCTTAAATCAAGTGTATCTAGCTTATCAGTTATAAAATCCTTTAGCTGCAGAACTGTAGCTCTCTGCTTGAAAAAATTCGGACAGGTGACGCAAAGATCTAGATCCATGCGATGTAAAAATCTTTGATCTACGCCGCTGATTTTTTGTCGGTCACTTCAGGTATATTTCTTATATTTTATGTTTTTCCCAGCTTTATAAATAATATCCAATAATTAACCATACATTAAATTCCTATTCATAAATGTTTATTTCCTTTCAACGGTTTAAGAAGGGCCGTTTGTGGATGTGGACGTAGAAATGGGAATCTTTTAAACCGACATTCCAAATCCACAATGGACTGTTTTGAAACATTGAAAGGTAAAGTATCAATAATTGGAGTAAAATCTTTGATTAATTATCAGATACCGTGCCAAGAGCGTAAAAAAGCATAAACTCCAAGAAATAATACCTTAAAGCAGCAACAAAACATCAGATGCGTAAATCCAAGGTTTTTACAAGGTATGGATCTGTAGATCTCTGTTTTATTTTTCCGAATTTTCTCGAGAAGAGAGATACAGTTCTGCAGCTAAAAATTCTTCAAATTAATTGTATAATTTAACTAAACCTATCTGTAATGAAGGTATCTGTCTGGAAATGCTTGGTTGGTAAAAAAAATTTACGTCCCTTCTAATTTTTGTCATTCATTTAGGCGCAGCCAATATCTAGTAAAGGGCTGCTTTAGAACTGCACTCAGCACTATGGACTTCAGAGAGCTATTGAGTAATGAGGGCTTTTTTGTGCCAAGAATGTCGAGATTTGACGATTTCATACAAAAGACTGGTTTTCAAGTCCCGCAGTGGGATTTGCGATGTAAAGATAAATTCTTTATTTAAAACCTAGATTCAATTATTTAAAGATACGTGTTTACTGCATGGTACTTATGCCTATTTACATTTATCTTAAATTCTACTAGACCTATCTGGAATTCACTTGCATCTTTCCTCAATTCATTTGAATGGATTTAGGTGGTACTTAGTATTTGAAAAAAAGTTCTTTTTTTTTTTTTACAGATGGGGTAAAATATTTGAATACAAGTGTATGTTATTAATTTGACATTCCATTGACTTACTGTCCTCTTCTTTTGGTTGCAGATGTTACCCTTATAGCCAAAGCAAAACCACTGTTTGACACAGTAATAACTGCTGATCCTGAGGCTCGATGTACACCTTGAAGGACAATCTGACTCTTCCATGACAACTGACGATCGCTTTCCTCCTAACAATTATTTTTCGACATTTATGAATATTAAAAACCTTTACATATGCTCAAGAAATTTATTTATCATTTGTCAAACGGTAAAAATTCAATTTTAAGATTACCCTTACTTTTAAAGAGAAAAGATGTATATCGACAGTTTCATTATCCTGAAGTTCTGAAGCATCTGGCTCCCATGATATTGATTTCTGTCCAGCAAACCATTCATCAGAGTTATGCCTATACACTCGATGCTTGTTGTCCGCAGGGTTTACTAAAAGTTCAGGTTTGTTACAGTATTATAAAATATACCGTTATTGTAATTTATTTTTAGGGAATAAAGAATACGTCTTAAAACAGGTCGTGTTTGTTCATCAACTTTTATACATATAATCATAAAAATTAATTTGATAATTTAATTTTTCTTAAAATTGTATTCCATAAACAATATACACACATAAAACGCTTGAGTATCCAATGGTTGTGGTGATTAAATTAATTCTTAGTTGCACTGTTTAGGAACAGGAAAGAAGACAACAAGAGAAATCAAAACACTAAGGAATAACCTTCACCTACTTACAGATTGTGTAGAGACCTCGAAATGTCTTCACCACGCCGTTAGTCTCTATTTTTATCTGTATAATTGCATCCCCTGTGTGTTGGAATATTGGTGTTATGCATACTATGCTAAATTCTGATTTTCGATCACAGATGTACGTTTCTTGTGACCCAAGATATGTGGCTGTTATGGTTGCAGATGGCTCAATGCATGGGCCACTGAGAACAAGATACTGCCCTCCTAACAGTGGGCCGTATCGAGGGGTTATGGTCAGGTCTCCTATAAAAACAAAACTATGTAGAATTATAAAGACATTTTGCTGAATATCCAAAATTCGAAATCAAACTATTTGAAATTCTCATTTGATTTTTTTTTTGTAATACTTACAATTATGACGCGGTAAACATTTCCGTTTGAAAGGAACGTTTTATGCTATCTAGTTGATTGTCATATTTTATAACAACACGCTTATTTCTTTAGAAAGGAAAAATATTGGTCAAATGGTTCACTCTAATACCTGTTGAACAGGTCTTCCATAATTATTTAACTATATTACTTCTAGACAATTAAACTGACGGTCTACATAAACACCGAGTACATGTAAGCACGTGTTCGACCGATGCATGTGTTATGGTAACTCCAATGATCATCAAAATTCATAGTTATGGTCAAATTCGTTAAAATAACGTGTTATACAGTAGCGGTGACTCTCTAAACTACGGTAAATTCTGTCTTATAAATTTCAATTAAACTCATGTTGTTATTAGCAAAGAGTTAGATGTCCTAAAATAAGCATTACGACGAATATTTCTTTCTTGTTTGTAAATAAATGGGCTTATCATTATCTATGTAAAAATTGTCCTTCGATAAGAACCCTTCAAATGTTTCATTCAAATGTATATTTTTAAAACTTCAATGCGCTTTATTGTAGATAACGTCTTTTTAGCTCTTCTGAGCCAAAAGGCTCAAAGAGCTAATGCTATGGCCATTTGTGCGGTGTGCGTCGTGTGGTGTGCGGTGTGCGTTAACTTCTTAGAATATGGGCCATAACTCAAGAACCCCTCGGCCAATCAGTGTCAAATTTGTCACAGGGTATCCTTGGCCCAAGGGCTACCATTTATACTAAAATAAGGGTTGGGACTCTAAAACAAGGGGAGATAATCAGGAAAACAAAACCAAAAGTACTGGTTGCAAAAAAATCTTCTTCTCCAGAACCACCAGGCAGATTTTCACCAAACTTACATACAATGATCAGGATATGTTGAAGATTAAAAATTGTTCAAGGCATGACCCTGGGGCAAAGGGCGTGGTCTCAAGGTCACTTCAAAGTTGACCTAAATTTTCAATTAATGAAAATGTCTATATTTTGCTTACTATAAGGACTAGGATCATCAAATCTTGTAAGTAGATGCATCTTAGGACTTCACATCATGTTAACTCAAAAGTAGGTCACGATGACCTATTTTTTTAATTTTGCGGGCATTTGTTTTCAAATTGATTTGAAGGCATATTTTGGACACTTTAAGGCCTATGATCATCAAACGTTGTCAGTTGATGCATCTTGGGTCTTTGAATAATGTCAACTTAAAAGCAGGTCACCGTGACCTACGTTTTGAACTTAATGACTTATCCTTTTTAAAACATTTCATCCCATTATTTCAGACACTTAGAGGGTTAGAATCATCAAATCTTGTAAGTTACTGCATCTTGGGACCTTAAAACATATTTAAGTAAAAGTAGGTCACTGTGACCTACTTTTAGAATTTTGCAGGCATTTGTTTTCAAATTGTTTAAAAGGCATATTTTGATTACCTTCAGACCAATGATCATCAAACTTTGTCCCCTGATGCATCTTGGGACTCTGAAAAATGTCGACCAAAATGTAGGTCACTGTGACCTATTTTCGACATTTTATGGCTATATTTCAGTATCTTAGGTATTTATTGGCTTAGAATCATCAAACTTTGTGATTTGATGCATCTTGGGTTTTCGGAGAGTGACCTACTTTTAATATTTTATGGCTATATTTATGTATCACCAGTACTTATCGGCTTAGAATTATCAAACTTTGTCAGTTAATGCATCTTGGGTTTTCAGAGAATGTCGACCAAAAAGTAGGTCACAGTGACCTACTTTTGACATTTAATGGCTATATTTATGTATTTCTGGTACTTATCGGTTTAGAATCATCAAACTTTGTTAGGTTATGCCTCTTGGGTTTCCACAGAATGTCGACCAAAAAGTAGGTCACAGTGACCTACTTTTGAATATCTCAGGTATTTATTGGCTAAGAATTACCAAACTTGGTCAGCAGATGCATCTTAGGCCTCTGATAAATGTCAACCAAAATATAGGTCACAATTACCTACTTTTGACATTTAATGGCAATATTTAAGTATCTCCAGTACTTATCGGCTTAGAATCATCAAACTTTGTCAGTTGATGCATCCCGGGTTTTCGGAGAATGTCGACCAAAAAGTAGGTCACGATGACCTACTTTTGACATTTTATGGCTATATTTTAGTATCTCAGGTACTTATTGGCTTAGAATCATCAAACTTTGTTTATGCCTCTTGGGTTTCCACAGAATGTCCGCCAAAAAGTAGGTCTTTGTGACCTACTTTTGAATATCTCAGGTATTATTGGTTTAGAATTATCAAACTTTGTCAGCAGATGCATCTTGGGATTCGAAAAATGTCGACTAAAATGTAGGTCATGATAACCTACTTTCGACATTTTATGGCTATATTTAAGTTTCTGGTACTTATTGGCTTAGAATCATTAAACTTTGTCAGTTGATGCATCCCGGGTTTTCGGAGAATGTCGACCAAAAAGTAGGTCACGATGACCTACTTTTGACATTTTTGGCTATATTTAAGTATCTCCAGTACTTATTAGCTTAGAATCATCAAACTTTGTTAGCTCACCTGAGCTGAAAGCTCAAGTGAGCTTTTCTGATCACATTTTGTCCGTCGTCCGTCTGTCCGTCTGTCTGTCTGTCTGTCTGTCTGTCCGTCTGTAAACTTTTCACATTTTCGACTTCTTCTCAAGAACCGCTGGGCCAATTTCAACCAAACTTACCACAAAGCATCCTTGGGTGATGGGGATTCGCGTTTGTTCAAATGAAGGGCCACGCCCCCATTCAAGGGGAGATAATTGGGAATTAATGAAAATTTGGTGGTATGTTTTAAAAATCTTCTCAAGAACCACTCTGTCAGGAAAGATGAAACTTATGTGAAAGCATCCTCAGGTAGTGTAGATTCAAATTTGTTCAAATCATAACCCCTGTGGGTAGGGCGGGGCCAAAATGGCCGACCAAAGTTTAACATAGAAATGTATAGGATAATTCTTTAAAAATCTTCTTCTCAAGAATAGCAAAGCCATAATTGATCATATTTATATGGAAGCAATCCTTAGGTAGTGTAGGTTCAAGTTTGTTCAAATCATGATCCCGGGGGGTAGGGTGGGGCCAAAATGGCCGACCAAAGTTTTACATAGAAATATATTGGAAAATTCTTTAAAAATCTTCTTCTCAAGAATAGCAAAGCCATAATTGATCATATTTATATGGAAGCATCCTCAGGTAGTGTAGATTCAAGTTTGTTCAAATCATGACCCCCGGGGGTAGGGCGGGGCCAAAATGGCCGACCAAAGTTTTACATAGAAATATATAGGAATATTCTTTAAAAATCTTCTTCTCAAGAATAGCAAAGCCATAATTGATCATATTTATATGGGAGCATCCTCAGGTAGTTTAGATTCAAGTTTGTTCAAATCATGACCCCCGGGGGTAGGGCGGGGCCAAAATGGCCGACCAAAGTTTTACATAAAAATATATAGGAAAATTCTTTAAAATTTTCTTCTCAAGAATAGCAAAGCCATAATTGATCATATTTATATGGAAGCATCCTCAGGTAGTGTAGATTCAAGTTTGTTCAAATCATGACCCCTGGGGGTAGGGCAGAGCCACAATGGCCAATCAAAGTTTTACATAGACATATATAGGAAAATTCTTTAAAAATCATCTTCTTAAGAATAGCAAAGCCATGACAGGTCATGGGACTACTTTTGGATTTAAACTTTTCAATAATAAACCAATTTCTACTTTTTCCTAGCCACAGTGCTCAGGTGAGCGATGTGGCCCATGGGCCTCTTGTTAGTTAATGCCTCTTGGTTTTTCAGAGAATGTCGACCAAAAAGTAGGTCACGGTGACATACTTTTGAATATCTCAGGTATTTATTGGCTTAGAATCATCAAACTTTGTCAGTTGATGCATTTTGGGTTTTCCAAGAATGTAGGGTGACCTACTTTAGAATATCTCAAATACATATTGGCTTAGAATCTTCAATCTTAGTTTGTCTATTAATGCATCTTGAGTCCTCAGAAAACTTCAATCTTAAAGTAGGTCACCGTGACCTACTCATGTTTTTTTTTTATAGCTTTATTAAAATATCTTCAGTCCTAATCTGCTAAGAATCATCAAACTTTTTATCAGTTGATGCAACTTGGGTTTTAGGATACTTAGGGTTATAGGCTTCAAATACAAGTGATAGGTTGTACAATTTATCAGAAGAGCGATTCAAGGCCCTTGGGCCTCTTGTTTATGAAGTGCTAGGTTGTTTGAGATATTATACATTTGTTTGATTTTTTTCCATCATAAAAACACTTGCACTCGCTCTTTATTACAAGCCCTGAATCTTCAAACAGCTCAGAGTTTATGCCCCTTTCGATAATTTTCACTCGTATGAAGACGTCATCATATACCGTCGGATGGACCTTTACTCGGCACTCAGGGACATTGAACAGTGTTTATCGTGTCAACGCCTTACATATACGTGAAAGGAGATCTCGGTTTCTAAGGACTCATCCAAAAGACCAGTGAAAGTGCCCGAAACCCCGGTCTCTCGGAGCGATCGCACTACCGACTGAGCTACCGTAACGGTAGGATCATAAAAAATGGTCTCAATTCATTAACTTACCTTTTGTATTACATCCCCCATCTGTTATGTCACTAGCATCTATTCTAAAGGCAAATTTTCCTGGTATGTCAACATTGGACATTTCGTCAACATTAACAATGTCAGAAGTACGCGATGCATTCACCGTGAAAAACACAATACCATCCCCCGCATTAAATCCAACCTAAGAAGAAAGAAATGCTTTTACGTATCCCAAAATCATTCTAGAAGTGTAGAAAACTTTTACATGAAAAGTAAAAGCAAAATGTTTGGCCTTCAATTCAACATTAAGAAATATCTAGTATAAACAATTTTTATTTTCGTTCCTACATTGAAACGATATCTATCTTTGGAGATAAAAGATACCACATACCCGGTATTCTGATATGCCTGTTTCGAATTTGGATATTTACCAGAAAAGACATCAATCGTACCGTAACAATAAATCTTATTAGTATGTGTAATGCCTTCAACTTTTTAATCTTCAACTTCCCTAATTTATTTAGCAAATTTTAATTGTCATCTGTATATATGGAGTTAATGTCTTAAGCAGATTTGATACGCAAAAAACAAGCTTTATACATAGACAATTTCTGAATTGAGGCAAATGCAGAAAATTAGTTTATGAAACAAGGACTTCGACAGTCTCGGTTTATGTCAACATGCCAATTCTAACTACAATATTATGATCTTGTCAGGAAATCTAATCTGTCATACTAATTTTTGGTCAGTTTTTATCATATGGAATTCATTAAGGATTTTGCCAAAAAATAAATACGTCAATAAACATATAGCAGGATTTTACAGATATTTTTAGATTTTTTTTTAAATGAAATGTCTTAACAGTTTAGAGACCAATTACATAAATTCGTATACATAGAGCATTGAGACAGACACCAAAATATATTACATGTATTAATAATAATGTCGAACCTGTGCAGGAGTTCCGCCCAGTCCAGTCATACGATTACCACCACTTGCTGTACCCGTTGTCCATTCAATTTGCTCGTAGTTGTATAAAGTAAATGAATACTGTCCATTGGTTATCAAAACTGCTTGAAATGTATTTGTCTGAAATGTTTTTAGTCTAAGAGTGGTGGATAATTTGTTAATATATAGATAATTATATACATTATTTCATTATCATTTCTTTTTATAGGACGAATAGTTGCGTTTATCAAAATCCTATTCTAATTTGTATGCTCACACGAAAACTTCATTTCAAGTCAAAACTGTTTCAATGCGATTATTGCTTTGTGGTTCAATATAAGACGTTGTAGAAACTGAATAAGTTTTTGCATTTTTTCTTTTCTCACTTTTTTTTCAGCTGTTTCCACCCATTCAAACGATAATACGTGTCTGTAACGAGATGACCATTATAGTGTATTCGAAAAATAAAAAAATAGATATTAATTCATATGAACCTTTGAACAAGAACTGTCACAGCCGTGGTATGCAACTTGATCCCAGGTGACAATAAATATCCACGAAGCTCTGAATCTGAAGAATCTGGGAAAATAAGCTCGCACCTCTTCGCTGGCTCTGTTCAGTAGAGTAGAATTTACGGTCTCCCTGTACCAAACTGTTCCCCCATTTATCGTGTTCACATCCGCCCAGAATGGTGCTATCATCCTGGCGTCATTGGCAATTGGGAATGGGTTAGGTGTGTATGTTCTGACAGTTTGTAGAAATGAAACTACTCCATTTGCGTTTACCTGCATAAACCGGTATTTATATATTTAAAAGAATTACCTCGGCTGAAAAAAAATGTAAAAATTGAGAAAAAATACTGGAGTATATCATCGTTATATAGATAAAACCAATTTCTGATGAAAAATATCTAAATGCTCGTGTATTTCATTTCCAATTAATTTTTGAAGTGAATTATTAGGAATCTAAATATACTTTATCTTGTAGCTAAGGGGTATTGAGAAAGTTCGTATCATTTTGAAATTTTCAAAAAAGTGTAAAACTGAAGAGATTAATTTTTTATTCTGACAAAATCACAAGATTGTGCTTGTGATTTATTGTAATTCGTTTATAACGGGAAGTTATAAGATTTTTTTTCTAGATCAAATATCTATTTACATCTTTAAAACACCCAAATGACAGAAATGTTAGGATTATTTACTTGTGTTCTTTTACATCTAATCTTGCATCATACAAAACTGATAAGCTAGTGTAAAACAAAGATTAGTTACTTTTAAAAAGAAAGTTTGTCTTTCTGATTTTTTTTATAGAGTAGCTACAATTGCATACATATTTGAAAGGATCTATTTACCTGTGTGATTAATATGCCACAAATATAATGCATCCTTTTTTTCCCTGCACATCCATTATCTGTTTCTATAACCACACTCCCTTAAATGTTTCGTTTCAAAACAGAAGTTAAAACTAATCGGTAAAAAAATGACTCTGTGATCATGAAATATCACACATTTAAATATCTTCTAATTGCATTTATTTTCAATAATGCAAAGTAATGTGGAATTAACACTCGTTATATGTCTTTCGGTATACTTTTCTTTTTGGTTTTCTAGCTCATCTGAGCAAAAGACTCAAGTGAACTATTCTGATTAAAATTCGTCCGTTGTCTGCCTTTGTTGTCATTGTAGACTTTTCACAATTTTATATTTTTTCCTATAACTACTTAACCAATTTCAACCAAACTTGGCAAAGAGTTACCTTGGGTAAAAAATTCAAATTCGTTAAAATAGGGCCACACCAATTCGTCTAATGGGAGATACTACCCTAACAAAAAAATACTCTCGTATAAATAGTGGTAAACTATAGTTGTAGTAAATCAAAGCTCCAAAGTTTTCACTATCGTTAATCAACGTTTAAAACTTTTCACTATAGTAAATCAAAGTTCCAAGGTTTTCACTGTAGTATTTAAGTTTTAAAGATGTTTTCATTAGTTAAACAGTACTCGGATGAGCGCTTGGACCTGGGCCTCTTGTTTTATTTTTTGGGGTTGTTTTGTTTTTGGTTGTTCCTTTTAGTTTATCTTATACAGCTAAGCCAAGACAGTTGCTTCTCAGATAAAAAAAATTAAGGGGCTAAGTAGTGTAGACCTAATTTATAAAACTTAACACGATACGCTTAGAAAATAAAAAAGTTGTATAAAATTTACCTTGATTTAGGAAGTTAAAATTTTTACTATAACGTTAAACGATACAATAACATTTAATTACAGTAACCTATATGTGATACTGATAACAGACATTAGAGATGATAGTTTACCTAGAAGTTTAAAATTAAATTACCAGAGTCAAACTCTAAATCTTAAAGATCAAATTTACTGTTAATTAAGCATTTTATATACATTTTTGTTTTCTATTTGTTTTTCAATAAACATTGAGATGGTAATTATAGAGAGCCTCAAAGGCATTAATCGAACCAAACAGAAGCCATTGTCAACCGTCGATTTTCTATTGATTGGTTTTGTCAATTCTCCAGAACTATTGGTAGTTAAAAATATCTGCACTGCAACGAAATTCCATCAATGGAAATAACCTAGATGCATATTTTTAACCCTGAGTCATGTAAATTTTGTTTAATTTCATGTAAATGAGCAGATTCGTTTAAAGTCATCATTTCGTAAGTTCTTTGGTCAATAAAATGATCTTGTGAGCAGATACGATTTATCATTTGGTCAAATGCTGACTTTACACACTGAATTGTCGACGCATGACAAGGATCGAGCAAACAGCTGATGTGACCGGTCTGCAGGGGATGTTCTCCCCTCCTTGGCATCTAATCCCACCTCTTATGTTTTGGAGGTCCGTGTTTGCTCTGCTCCAATTTTGTATTATTTAGTGCACTTTGAGTTCGAGTACTTTTCATCATCTCCATAGATTTCATTTATAGTCCAATAATAATTTTTAAGAATAATTTTTTTTTAATAAAACAATTTAAACAAACAACAATACATGTCTTATTTTGACTTAATTTATTTTATTAAAATTAAAAATTTTCCAATTCAAATAATCTAAAATTAAACTAATACTAATTATTTTTAAAAAAGTACTTACAACGAGTTTCGGGTGCTGATGATTAAAGAATGGGAAAAGCGTTGATATAGTAATATCACCAGTGCTTCCATCATCATTTTGGGCCATGGCTGTGTCTCCATGTTGGCGTCCAAATGGGAAAAAGTCATTTAAGGATAAAGAAAATGTCTGAGGAACAACAAAAACAAAATACGTAATTAAAAAATCCGTCTGCATAGTTTGAAGAGACTTCAATCAAAGACAAATTGGACGAAAACCGATATGCGATGGGTTTTTATACCTTAAATTGATTAATTTAAAGGTTTGAAACACACTGAATGTGTATTGCATAATATGTAGTTATAGTTACTTCATGGTACAAGACACCCGTTAGAATTAATAGCTTCCTTTATTCTTTTGTTTATTCTCAGCATACAGAGCATAAAAATATTCATAGGCAAATTGTTAGAATTTTCTTCAGTGTCCACGGAAAAAAAGCATTAAGACAATATGTATAAAAGTTAGAATGAGTTTCACACTCAGTCACACACGTTTTCTGAAAAGTGTATTTTTTAAAAACTTATTTTGTTAAGGTAAATGACATTTATATTAAATTAAATAAAAAAACAAATCTTATTCATTTTGCTATCTTGTACGATAGGTGTAGAATTTAATCGTATCAAATCTCAAAGTTTTTAAAGATATGGACACATTACAAGATTTTTTTACTTTCATTGACAATTTATTTTACTTTTTATTGTCAGAAATAAAAGCTATAAACAAATTTGTTTAATTTACTTAAGATCAATTTATTCTACGTTAACTCAAAGGTATATCCAGAATTGTATATATTCAACTTCAAACTACAATGGCTTGAAACAAATTGCACAAAAAGAATTGTTATTCGAAGTTATCAGATAAAGTAAATCGACAGATCTAGAATATTGAAGATAAAGTCATTTCCTTGTGTAATTAATATTGTTTTAACTCAGCTGCTAAAATCATTCATGTCATTCATGTACGACCTAACGTCGTCAGGTTGTAGGGCACAGAATAAATCATTTTTATTGTAAATGAAAGATATATAATTAGGTCACACAGTTTTATTTGAGATCAGCTACCCCAGTCTCCTTGAAGAGATAAATCTGAAATACAACACAGGATTTTCTACGTGAAATAAAAGTCGGGTGATAGCAAGACAATGAAACCCTGAATAACATAAAAGTACATGTACAATGCCTACTGAGTTGAGGTTAATTTCATTTTTATACTTCTCGATAAATGACAGTAGTGGAGTCAGTACGTTTAATGGGAGTAGACGATACATTATTTCTCAAACGAATCAGTTCATCCGACACTTTACTATAAGATATGGAGATAATGAACAGTATTTAAGCACAAGGAACATATGAAATGAAACATATGGAGATAATGATCATGTTCAAGATCAAAAGTCCATAAAACAATACAAAATAGGAGCAGACCAAACTCAGACTTCCAAAACATCAGAGGTGGTATCAGCTGCCATGGATGAGTGAGACTCCCCTGCTGACCGGTCATACCCGCCGTGTGCTCCTTGTCATGATCGGGGAAAACGGAAAAATCCGTCATCAATTCTCTGTATAAATAATGGTCTAACAAAAAGTATGAATAAGTATGAAAAACGTCAGTCAGCATTTGACTCAATGATAAATTGAATCAACCATTGATAGAACTTACGAAATGATGACTTAAAACGAGATTGCTGGTATTCTTGTATCATCAACTTGTTTGTCAATAATTTACCTAATTTCAGAAATTGTCCATACTTAGAACATGCTCTTTCATATAGAATCAACTGAGATATATAAACTCCGTGTGCAGGTGAGGAAGGTATATTGCTGAATAAGTAAGAGAAGATGACTACAAAAAAGTTAAAGGCATCACGTTTATCATAGATCTTCGTTGTAAGATTACCATTAACGTCTTTTTAAGTAAAATATCCAAATATGAAACAGATTTGTCAAACTCTGTGGTATCTTTTATCTCAAGCTTACTAGGATATATCGAATCGACATAAGATTGGAAATAACCATTGTTAATTGCCAACACGCCGTCGATATATCTAAATGTCGAGTTGCACCTAAGCCACAGCAAGTGTTTTCTTCTTTTCACGCAGATTTTGCACAAATTCCGTTTCATATGAATATAAAAATAGGTCTGTTAATAACGGGGCGCAATTGGTACACATGGGAATTCTATTACATGGTTCGAAGAAAGCATAAAGCATTGTGCCATAAATGAGTCAACTTTTTTAATGGCTGCCAATGTTTTCCTAGATACACACAAAACTTTAAATGAACACAGTTTACCTCCTCTATGATGTGGTAAATGTTTAATACTTTGTAATATCTCCTTTTTGGACCAACACCTATCTGCATCGGCCAGCGTGGAAGGCTTGAATATAGATTGATTAATTAATTACTGTTTAACGCCGAGTCGGCAATATTTCAGCCGTATTTTGGTGAAATGGCACTTCAAACCAGGCACGCAGCAATTCTGCCTTCAGATCATATATGCTTTTTACCAAATAAAGTCTGTTTTCTTGCACCCGATTAATTCGGGGCAGATATTGTTTTTGTCCTGTCTGTCTGTTTGTCTATTTGTCTGTCTGTTGTCAACTTTAAACTTCGCCATAACTTTTGAACGGTGAGAGATTTCATATTTGATATTCACACTAAATAAACCCTTTCAAGAAGGATATACATGTAGAGGTAACGAACAGTATTCAATATCAAAGTCCCCTGCTGACCGGTCACACCCGCTGTGCGCTCCTTGTCATGATCGGGAAATAACAGTTAAAAATATGTCGTCAATTCAATGTATAAATAATGGACTAACAATTAGTATGAAAAATGTCAGTCAGCATTTGACTTAATGATAAATTGTATTTGCTGACAAAGTATTTGTATCGACCATAGAACTTATGAAATGATGACTTTAAACGAGATTGTTGATATTCTTGTTTCACCAACTTGCTTGTCAATAATCTACCTCGTTTTAGAAATTGTTCATACGTAGATCATGCTCTTGCATGTTTATCTCAAGCTCATTAGGATAAATCGTATCGACGTAGGAATGGAAATTACCATTGTTAATTGACAATACGTCGTCGATATATCTAAATGTCGAGTAGAAGGCCACAGAAAGGTCAATGATCTTGTGATCCTTACTGTGACCTATATGCAAAAGATAGCTTTTTTGAACTTTGTTGCCACCGGGAGCATAGTGTTTCACAAGCACATCTTCGTAATTTTGTTTTTCATTATAAGCTAGCTGGTCAGGAAAGTTGTGGAAGTTGATATTGTCTTTTCCATTCCTCTACTAATCTTAACCGATGACAAGGTGCATTATCATCTTGGAATAAGAAAGGTTCTCGGCCAAAATGTTTAGTCATCACTTGTCGTTAATTGTTGTATAATGTTTCTATGTATTTACCTGAGTTCATATTGACAGCTATCATACATAATGAACACTATAATAAGTCAGGCATCCAAAACTATAAGTTTCAGGGTAGTGGTAGGTACCACTGCAACATAGCCCAAACACTCTGGTCTCCAGGCCTTCCTCCAAACTTTAAGTGTCCCTTTTGGTTTGATCACCATTATCATTTCTGTAGATATGACCTTTTTTCAGTTATTTTCTACTGTCCAGTGAAGTTAACCCCTGCATCATGCGATTTTTTTTCTTCTAATTCACCTCCCTAATGCCTATTTTCTTCGAAAAGTCTCGTGTACTCCAGAGAGTGTAACTTTCTCTTTAAACTGATCGTCTGGGCACTGCTACAGGTATTCTAGCATTAAATACGGCCGTTATGTAATTGAGAGTGGCTCTTCGACATGTTTTCAAATCCTGGAGAGTATATTGATTGCTTTTTCCGTTATGATTTTTTCCCCTTCCGCTTCGAGGTAATTTTCTGTGTCACCGCGTCATACGTCAGCGTTTTAACAGTCTGGAGATTGTAGACTTAATATTTATATTCAAACTTTCTGCCACAGGACTTGCTCGATGACCACTTTCAATAAGTTCTACAATTATCTTCTTGGTGTCGTCTGTTAATTCCTTGCCATGTTTTCGTCATATTGTTTGACATCAACAAAGCATACTCTCTGAGTCCATCAAGATCCGAGAATTCAATTACAGAAATGAATTGCAGTTATTTCTCTTTGATCTTATGAGACACGCAATATTGCATCAAATAACGCTGATGGCGAATTTTTTGTTACCCCGCTTCGAAACGGACATTGACGGCCATTAAAAAAGTTGACTCATTTATGGCACTATACTGTAGACATTGTCAATCGGGAACTCAAGCCTCTTTTTAATGTCAACTTCAGAGTACTTGTGAGTACAATCAGAATGTTTGCTAACAAAATAATTTTCCAAATTACCAATGACAAGGTAAGAAAATTTATGTGGTCCATTTAATTGAATAAGCAGCTGTCATTGATATCAAAGTCTGGACTTTAATTAATCGTCGGGAATGCATGTGTATAAAGTTACAAAGTCGAAAGATTTTAAGCTGTTGATTTTGGTAAAATCATGTGTTTTTAATATGTCCAAAAGTTTCATGGAATTTTTCAGTATCCACATTGATTTACAACACTTCTTGAATATATTGTTGCACAGTACTCATGAAGTTTCTCCTTCACTACTGTCAATATCTTAGTGAAGAGTAAAGAAAAAGGCTTGATTGAACATTTTCTGGAACCCACTATGTATCTTTGTTTTTAAGGATTCTTATGAAGTTTCGGAATCCAATATATATATGGTACTGAAAACTGACATATCATTTTGAGAAATTTCTTTCTTTGAAAGGGAACTATGAGTATAATTTGGATTAGCACTTTAAATCCAAGTTCTTCTAAAATACAATTTATATCATGAGCCTTACAAACGAAGACAATGTTGTTACCTGCTTTGTCAACAGGGAACAGTACATACTGATTTTATAATCTATCTAATTCTTTTTTTCCACTTCTGGATTATTCAATACAGAGAAAGAGATGGTTTTCATATTAAACCTCAATCTTTTAATACGCGATTTTGACAAGGATTGATTTATTGCATATTGTTTAACATCCCTCTCGAGAAATTTTCACTCATATTGACCCGCCACCAATTGCCGGTGGAGAGCTGCAAAATTTCTCTTAACTCGACATTTATGGCCATTGAGCATTTTTTAGTTTTAACGCCTACAGCGACACGGGACTTTGGTTTGTACGGTTTCATACGAAGGACGGGTTTCCAC